TGGTGGTTATTGCGTGTTGTGTTGCAGTCTGCAGTCCTCAACTGCGAAAGCAAATTAAATCAGTCCTACTAGTGTAACTTTCAGGAAACTCATCAAACTCACCTCTGTGAGAAACGGTTTCCAGCTTTTCCACGTGATTAAATCTAGACCCCTAAAGCTCTCCTGGTAAAGATGGAGACCTCCGTGTTCCAAAAGTGAGTCTGTGGAGAACACGTCTGTGGTGGAGGTTCGGGCGGACTTCTGGAGGTGCTCCGTGGGCATCGCTGCCCGTTAGCCCTGCCGTCCGCCTGCCACCAGCCGACACCACTGCCTCGAGGGACCCTTACTACAGAAATAACTTAAAATACGTGCATATACAATAATTAAGAACCAATTGATAATTTGTTGTGTGGTTAGCTGTTTTGTTGTTCTGGTTTGTTGGGGTTTTTTTAATCAAATAGATTATAGGGGGAAAAATCTTTACATAAGACGGTAAATGTCGGGAAGGAAAATACACGTTGAGACAATTTGGTAGTTATGGCAAAGGATAAGAAGAAAGATGGCAAGAAGACAGAAAAATCTGTACGTCCTCCTGTTCCTGCACAAGACGCTACAGCTGAGAGCAGTTCAACAAAGCCAACAGATCTGCAGACCTCAGTGAATGAAGTGGAAGAAACACAGGCACATCCAGTGGTACCGGATAAAGAACCAGAGGAGGCAGAAGAACCTCCGGTCCAAAACGTTCCTCAATACTATGAGGAGCCCATTCTTACGGAAGTTATTGTAAAAAGGTATGCTTGTTACAAATACATCAGTGACGTTAAGGATTCTCATTTCCGTATCTGGTGTACCCTGTGTCATGCAAACACGGATTTGACTTTTGATTTGAGGCAGCGAATGGGGTTATTCAGACCGAGTAGCCATGACACTTTACGAGACTGATACATGTGGAATTCTGCTGCCATCTTGCATCCTAGAGAGTTGCTGGCACTCTCTGTTTGCCAAAAGGCTCGTTCTTTTTGCTTGTTCACCTACGGTGAAGTTTTGTCTAAGTATGCAGATAGTTGGTGAAGAAATGTAATGTTCAGTTGCTGCTGCCTTTTAATGATTAAGGCTGCTCGTATCCCTTAAGAATATCCTAAACTGAGGAAACAGATGAGAATGGCAGTGTAAACCAAATCCTTTGGTAGTTCAAAGGGACTGTATGTACATGTTTCACATACTGACCAGGTTGCCTGGTTGTAAGCTAGTAAATGCTACCGATGTCCTTTGTTTTCTTAAATAAAAGAAATACGGGTCTGGGGCAATGCAATGATTACGTGAAGTATTACAAGGAAGGTGCAAAAAATTGGAAATTTTGTTGTAGCTCATTTTTCTATACAAGATGCAACATCTGGCCTGCGTGTAGACCGTAGTAAATCAAAGGTCGTTGTTACATGTCTGTTGTGATTTAGGTCTACTGGCAGTGACTTGCAATCTTCATCTTAAATTGTTTTCTTTGTAGCTATGAAGGTGAAAAAGTTCATGGATTGTATGAGGGTGAAGGATTTGCATATTTTGAGGGGGGAAACACATATAAGGTGAGCGTATAAATTGAAACAAAAAGAAAAGTAGTAGTGGATCAAGTTCTTTCTCGAGAACCAGCAGGCTGGTTCTTTTAATGTGGGTGGAGGTTGGGCCTTAGAATGTGTAAGCATTGAAAGCTCTGTTGGTTTCCGGCATTAAAACTTCATTTGAAACTAGTAGTTGGAGGGGAATTAATATGTCGTTATTTTGAAATCTTACAATCACTGTAGGCTTCAGTTGTGGTAAGAATAAATTTCCAAATGATGCCAATCTCTTCATTTTGAAGGGCATGTTTTCTGAAGGGCTTATGCATGGACATGGGACTTACACGTGGGCTGATGGAGTGAAGTACGAGGTAAAGTGCAATTTAATTTATAACTGAACACAGTTACAGACAATTAGATGTGGAAATTCAAGGAAAATGGATAAGTTGTAGTAATTGATACAGTACAGGGGCAACTGCAGAACTGTGGCAGTGATTTCAATCAGAAGCCTGACTTCTCCCAGATAATTGTAACAGCAAGTCTTAGCTTTTTAAATGTTGTAATTTAATCTTTTAGGGAACATTTGTCAAGAATGTGCAGATGTTTAATGGCCGTTATACATGGAATGATGGCAGCGTTTATGAAGGATCAATCAAGAATGGAGTTAGGCACGGATTTGGATTTTTCAAGAGCGGTACTCCTCCTGTTTCTTACATTGGCTATTGGTCTGAAGGCAAAAGACATGGAAAGGTGGGTACGAACACCAAATGAGAGCATGATCTTAGGTGACCACCTTCTAGAACAGCAAGCGCTCTTGTGGAAAGGTTATGCAAAAATGTTTTATGCCATTGTATGGTCTTATGCTATGTAGAGGTTCGTCTTTCCTAAGGATCTTCTCTGAAGTTGTGAATGCTAAGTAAAACAGTTGGGATGGGATCTTGTTTGTAGTGGAAGAGATGAATGGTGTCCTAAGGAATAATTGGCTTACCATGTGATTGGTCCTTTATGCTGCTCTAAGTGGATGGGGACAAAGTCAAAGCTCACGGCTGCATCAGTAGCCATGTAACAATGATAGAACAATCAGCTTCCCAGGAGCGACAGTGATCCTGCTCCCAAATGTGTTAAGCAGACCAAGTATGATAATTACAATTAAGACTGCTTTATCTAGTTTCAGTAACACCCGGTTCCAACTTTGTAAAGGCAGGTAGTGCTTTTATCTGTCTCCGTTTCGTGCATCCAGATTGAGACACTCTCCTGGGCCTGACATTTTGCAGACCAGTGCTCAGCACGTGAGGAAAATCCCTTCTGATAACACGGGGTTTTGTTCTGTGTCACTAATGAGACACTAAAATCACTCAGGCTGCTGCGGATGGTCACCAATGTGTCCTGAGAAGAAGCTATTAGATAAAGACAGAAAAATGAACAATGTAGACCTACTATTGGAAGTTGAATTCTGAATGAGTCAGGAAACTGATCTACCTCAGAGTGACTAGTGTGACCCAGAGAGCTAATTTTGGCAATTTAGAGTATTTCCGAGTGGTTTGAAAAACATGGTAGACTGATGTAATGCAGCATGATTTTTTTGAACGCTTGGGTTTTTTTGTAAGGTCTTAACTAATATTCATCAAAAGAGTTTGCTTTTTTAATTTAATGTTATCAGTTCAGTTGCTTTCGGTACAGTGTCTCAAAGTGGCTATACGTAAAAGTGTGATTACGTCTTATATAATTTGTGTGTTATGTTTTATTATTGTAGATGAATATTTAGGTATTTAAATTAACTATACTGTTTGTTTCAGGGTACTATTTATTATGATCAGGAGCATACCTCTTGGTATTCAGGCGACTGGGTAAATAACGTCAAAGAAGGATGGGGAATGAGATGGTAAACATGATAACACTTGTTATCTTTGTATTATTTTTTTTTATATTTATTATCATACAGTTTCTCCTATTGTTTAAAATGGATACAAATTTTACCATTTCATAGCAGTGTGTACTTTCTGCAGGGGAATAAATAATTGTACAAAGTGCTTTATAATAATAAAATAGGCCTTCTCTATAGCTTACATTTTTATGTTGGTGTATTTCTGCTGATCATTCCCACAAAAGAATGTCTAAAGACAAAATCCAAAATCAGCTTTGGTAAACCACAAATCAACATTTAAAAACAAATAAACTCAATTGATTTGAACAGATGGAGCTGCTTTCATGAATAAATGAATTATTTGTGGAATTATATATAAAAGAATATTTTGATTAGCTATGGTGGAGACTCTTTGGAAGAAAAGAACTGATTAACATTTTTACAGTGATTTGTAAGTTAAAAATAGGAGGTAAACAGTGGGTACAATCAAGACTCTGTATCCACGTTACAGTGACCCAGCTTTCAAATTAATGCTTATATTTAGCATTAATAAATGGTAAATTTATTAGCAATGAAGTTTTGCCTAAACCTTGCTTTCATAAGATCCACTTAGAATTTACTATGAATGAGTCATTAACTTTTATTGTTTTCTTGCAGCTATAAGTCTGGAAATATCTATGAAGGTCAATGGGAGAAAAATGAACGTCATGGAAAAGGAAGAATGAGATGGTTGACAGCTAATCAAGAGTATATGGGACAGTGGGTGTATGGCATACAGGTATTAATTTCCTCCCCAGCAACCTGTTTAGTTCAGCGTCTGTCTATTATTCTAGTAAAACTAGAAAGGGAGTTTTGTGCAATATCAGAGGAGGCTTTGTATGATTTTTACCAGTTGAGATAGTGGAAATATGCTGTTTATTGTAAGTTGATTCTCATGTTAGCAATATTCAAATTTTTAAAAGGCTATTGACTTAGTCTCACAAAATGATAATTTAATTCTCTAATGTAAAATATAAACCTTTTTCATAAAAAAAGGAAAAAGTTTAAAAAGTTAAATGTTTCTGAGTATACTTAGCTTGAGAGATGACTTCAGCAGTGAGTATATATGGCAATTTGCTTCTGTGTCACCTGTAAAATATTAGACAACGCTGTTCCCTCTTGTAAAAGTTTTATGATGGAAGGAAAAGTCTTCTGCCACTTTTTGTTCCTTCCATTTATTATTCTGTTGGAAAAAATGTGAGCTACTTCCTCTGTCTTCATTCTGCATGAAATTGTCAAGGAGTCCAGCTTCTGGAACATCGTGGCACTCTGCTGGCATGGTGTTCCTCGCCGGGCTGTTCAGCCTTACACTCGAAAGGATCCAAGCAGGAAGGATGTCTTTAGGAGTCCTGTTGGTAGAGCTTGCTTAAGTACGTGTCGATTCAGTGTATCCTCTGAGCGCCTCTCCCATGCACCTTTGTAGAATATACTTCTGTGGATGGCGTGAAGTACTGCTGGGTGCTTTTATTGGAGAGATTTGCCAACAGTGACTCTTAAAGATGCCTCGATGTTTCTCCTTTTTAAAAGCCTGGACCTGTAGCAGTTGTAGCTCTTCTGGAGATGTTTTGGGTTTTTTTAACACACACATTTTTTTTCAGCATGGATATGGCACCCACGTATGGTTTTTGAAGAGAATGCCTGCATCTCAGTATCCGTTAAGGAATGAATACATAGGTGATTTTGTAAATGGGGAACGACATGGACGTGGGAAGTTCATATACGCCAGCGGAGCAGTGTACGATGGTGAATGGGTTTGTAATAAGAAACATGGCAAGGTGAGTATTGACGAGTAGTAAGACAAAACTACAGACAATAGCAGGGGAGACTATTCTGCTCTGTGTAGTGGATCTCTAGATTTCATATGGAAAACTGCATTCAGTTTGCATTGTGGATGGAGCCCCAACGTGAAGGGCAGACTCCACTGAGAGCAGGAGGAGTCCTTCCAAGGACCTTGCTGGGCTGTGGTTAGATGTGTGTTGTGTGTATAAAGAAATACGTTTTACGATGGAGATTCTCAGTGCAGTAGGTGCATCTTGATTTTTGCAGTGGTTGATCAGTACTTCCGCTTTTATACTGTGAGCTACTGGATCTCAATCTAGCCTTGCACAGAGACGTCCTCACATTAACAGGTTGTTTTTAAAAAAAACCTGTGAGCAGGGTGCCACATATGCAAAATAAAGATTGCAAACAAGTCTTTCCTGAGGGGCGGGGGAATGTTTTTTCCTCAAAATGCTTTTCAAAATCAAACAAATATATAGGCAATTCTTCATTCCAGCAGTGTTTTTTAATTGACAGATGGCAAAGTACTTTATAAAAGAGGTGAGGAAAAATTATTTTGCTTTATTTTACTCTATAAAAGAGGCGAGGAAAAATTATTTTGCTTTATTTTATCTCATATATTGCATTTTAGCCAAGATTCTTAAAAGGAAATTTGATCGAAAGCATTAGTGTTATTTTTTCTGATTTTTGATTTACATTGAAAATAATAAAATTGATCTGTCTATAGGGCAAGTTTGTCTTCAAGAATGGTCATGTTTACGAAGGAGAGTTCATAGATGACTGTATAGTAGAATATCCTGCTTTTCAAGTGGATGCAATGAATGCAAAAGAGCTGAATGCCATTTGCACAGGAAGTAATTTTGGCACTGGTAAGCAGCTTAAGAAAACAAATTCTACTCTGTTCACATTTTGTTCTTCCTTTTTACTGTAATGTGAAGCTGTTTGTACTTTCTCAAGAACAGACATATTTCTTCAAAGAACTTTGACAAAGATGGAAGTTATTTTAATAATTAATGACTTTTGTTCCCATGCTTCTTGTTCCCTGTGCATGACACTTTGAGTTGAATGACACAACCACACTACATCTTGTAATGCTTTTGGAACACTGTTGTCTGAAAATTTCATAACTTATGTAATATCTGCATTTCCTTTTGGCTAGGGGTTGGATTTGACAAAATTACTCTTCAGTTGTTGCGCTGTTGATTAAGAAACTCAACTCCTCACTATAAAGGAGTCTGTTATTTTCAGTTTGAAGTCAGTAAGATAAGAACTAATAATGTATGTTTTATTTTCCCTGTGTATATATACTTTTAACTTCATTTTAGTTTGTTGGAATTTATTTTATTTGCATGGTAGAAAACTTCACAGTCATTAATGGCTCAGAAAATACTTCTGTTCTGGGATCAAATATTGAGTTGGATGTATCTTCACTGCTTGACTTGTTGCCAAGGGAAGAAAGACATGAAGAAGTGAAACAAGTAAGAGTCTACTGTTTGATATTTTCAGTTTTCCCCCGCACTGTGTTTCATATTATTTTATTTCTGGTTTATTTGTATTAAAGTAACTCTTTCCATTAAAGAAGTATTCAAAAGTCTGAAGGCTATGAAAACAGAAAAGGAAAAAGAAAGAATAGACAATATTGCCTCTTTCTGAGCTTCCACTAGAAGGCAATGAAAAAATACATTAACATATGTGGAAGGGCATTCAGCAGCTACCTTTAGCAACTGTGAGGTTTGTCTGCTGATAGAGACTAATTTATTTTTATCAGTCACCAAAAAGTATCTATTATAACTACCTTTGAGTAATGTTCTCATGAACATTTAACCAGGGATGTGCTCTTCGAAGTTACAAGATCAAAAGCATTCTATGCCCAGCTACAGGGTCAATACAAGCTGATCACTACTTGCTGTGAGATGATGCTGAAAACATATCCTGCTTTATTTAGGTAGAATTTGCTGTGTTGAGGCATATTACAGAACTGAGAAGAATTTACACACTTTACAGCGGCCTAGGCTGTGATCATTCTCTTGACAACACCTTCCTCTTGACTAAGCTCCAATTTTGGAGATTTCTGAAGGACTGCCAGTTTCATCACTCCAACCTAACTCTTGCTGAAATGGATCGGATATTGAGCGGTTTGTATTTCTGTTGATGGGGTCTAGAATCTAGTAATTTTAATAGTAAGCTGTGGAGATTTAGAGTGGCAAGTTCTACTGGTAGCTCAGCTTTGGTAGTTAAGTGGCCCTGAGCGAGTACGTCTGTGCCTGAGTTCTCAGTAGATGCATTAACACATCTCCAGGCACTGCAGGTGCTTAGGTGAGAAAATGCAAACTTAAAACACCACTTCAAAAATTGTTCTAAAGAGCCATCTGTTAAAAAATTGTATTCACTCCTGGTCATGCCATTACTATTACATGCAGTTTTAAGACGTCTGAGAAAAAGAAGTAGAAGAAACAATTTTTTTTTTCTTTTTTTTTTTTTTTCCCAGTGCTCTTAACTTCGGTTTGCATGTAGTATGTTTTTTTTTTCCTTCCGTAGAGACAGTTAATCGATGAGTTCCATTTAGATGTGCAGCGGGATGCACTGCAATGTCCGTGGTATGTGAAGGGTTTAACTCCAACTTTGCTTCCTTTTTCATTCCTATATGCTGAGCGGGTGCATTTCTAGAAAGAGAGAACTTGATAAGATTCAGCTGTAGGTGAACAGTTCTCCCTTGACCTGTTTGTTTGGAAGTGATGCTGTGCCTGGCCTGATTTCTTCCAGGAGTGTTGTTACACTGCAGTATGTAGAGATGGAGAGGATAAGAAAGACTGACAAGTCAGTATGCCTATAAGCGTTTTAATGTACATGATAGCAATAGAGATTTATTTTTTCAAAATTTTTAGGTGATAAAACACCACCTGAGGAGATACATTGTCCACATGAGACTTTACTGTTCAGAACATTTTTATCTTACCTTATTCGTCTGGCATTTCATATCTATCATGAAGAGCACAAGTAAGTTACATCTTTTAGTGAAATTTGTTTCAGTGTAATCAGTTTGAGTCTTCCCAGACAAAGGTATTTTTGTTTCAACTGTAGAGAGAAAGGTCCTTATCTGCAGAAGTGTTTCTTAGAAATGATGTCCAGGAATGTTATTCCCGCTGCCTGTCATATCCGAGGTAAGTAATGGTATTTCTTCTGTGCTGTGCAGAGCTCATCAATTAGTACCACATACATCAGTTTTATTGTAACTGTTATTTTTTTCCCAATTAATTTTTAAAGGTATCTTATTTTCTGAAGAACGATGTACAGTTTTTGCCATGAGCTATATCAACAAATGCTGGGAAATTTACAGAGCTTTTTGTAGACCGAGTACCAAACCTCCATTTGAACCCATAATGAAAATGAGGCACTTCCTTTGGATGTTGAACGTAATAATCTTTTTTTTTTTATTATTTAGTGTGATTAGATGTGCTTTATTTGTTCAGTTTACATGAGCATTTTATAATACTCCCTGTGGCTTCTGCACAGTTGAAAAGATAGAAGCAATGTTATTTGTACAAACTGTCCAACAAACATTAAATGGACAGTTGTTCTATGGAATTTATTTATGTACTTGTTGTGGTTTAACCCCAGCTAGGTCCGCTATCCGCTCACGTAGTTCTCCCCCTTTCCCCAAAAGGGCTGGGAGAAGAGGGAGAAGAGGAGGGGAAGGGAAAAGAAAAGAACTGGTGGGTTGAGATAAAGGCAGTTTAATAGAAACAATAACAGAAAAGGAAAATAACAATAATATCAATAATAACACAAGTCGCTCTCAATGCCCGGTGAATTAGCACCATCCCGAGCAGTGATTGCGGACTCCCCTGCCCGCCCCATCCAACCCCCATTTATGTGCTGAGCATGATGGGAATGTTCCATTGGCCATTCCGTCGTTCTCTCTGTGCTCCTTTCAGCTTCTATGGGAAGCTGAAGAGAGTCCTTGAAAAATATCAACATTGAAACACAGCAACCACTAGAACGAAAATTAACTCTGTCCCAGCTGAAACCAGGATAGTACTTCGGCAGGATTGAATTCTGATTTCGTACTTGATCATTTCAAATAAAATCTTTGACAAATGTGTTTTAAGGGAATGTAAATATTCCCCCCCCCCCCCAAAGCCTGTAAAATGCATTAATGAAAATGTCTGATTTGTAGAAATCAAAGACTGGCAGTTTTTGAAATAACACAGTAAACCATTTTAATAATGTATTAATTTAATATGCTGCAAGATGAACATGTGATTCTATACTAAAATTCAGATCAAGATTACACTGAAGCCAGGGAACAGTTTCCATTGATCTGCCTGCATTTTGAGTCATTGTTTAAATCCAAGCCTTTTTTTCATGAAAAAATAAAAATATCAGTTGGCAAAATTGTAATTTTTTGTATTTTTATTTATGAGCTGTCACAAGTTCATTCTTAACACCATTTTTGCAGTTTAGGAAACATTCCCATTGACTTCAGTATGGCCAGAGTTTTACTCTGTCGTTGATTACGAATGTGGAAGTATCATTTGAAACCACTAGACATTTTGACACAGGCTTTAAAGGGAGTTAGATTAGGTCCATGTGGGAATGCCTTAAGTGCTGTTAACATGTAACATTTATCTTACCCAGGATTTTGAACTTCTCAGCAAACAATTAACTGCTTCAAGACTTGTGGAAATACTTGTCAAAGATGGTCCTCCTCCACATGATAGCAGTAGTACCAACTTGGAGCAGGAGGTGTGTATGGAAAAAAACATATCATAGTTCGTTGCTACAGGAACAATTAAAATTACTTTTAAAAATGCTGTGAATACTGTCCTATCTGCTAGAACAGGAGGAAAATGAATTAATTTATTCCAGAAAAATAAGGAGTACAAACTTAAGTATCTGGTTTTGTCTTCCTTTTTTCTGCCTGTGTCTTCTAGTTTAGCTCATGTACTTCTGTGTTTTGCTTATTATCTTCTTAGTACAGTCTCCTCCTACCTGACCATACAGGTAACTCCGTAAGAGTGCTGTTACCCAGCGGGTGAAATACCGTTCCTAGGAGACTGCTGCTGGTAATAGTTCTGTCTGACAGTATGTGTATACAGTGATTACGCAGGGATAAATCTCAGCGCTTCCAGCTGCCGAGGCACGCACTGGAAATGGTGAGATGGGTCAATAATTAAGATGTGAACCCACTGATCCTGAAAATCTGGTGATCCAAGAAATCTGATTAGTGACGTGTAAGTGCTGGCAGTTCAATGAGGTCGGGTAGTGACTGTAGAGGAGTCTCGTGCTACCTGACATCTGGCCTGCTATAGAGGGCCTTCACCCTTAAAGAATTAGCTCTTACTCAGTGATGATCTATTGTAAATGACATAATTTAGTTTATTGTTTTATACAGTATCTGATAAACTGAACACACGGTAAGTCTTACTAAGGGATTCACTATATACCCATTTTGGGGGTTTCTGGAAGCATCGTATGCAATAAACATTTTAGGTAATAGCAATAGTTGTGTGTTATTTGTTAGAGAAATTTCTCCTAGGTCCAGATACGGGAAAAATCTATGCAGTATTTTATCTCAGTATGACTTGACTTGTATAAGGCATAACACAGTGTATCACCTGAATTTTTTGAGCTTTGGCTGTTTTCAATTTTCCTTCAGAAGGAGGGATGTTTGAATATGTAAATGAGGCCAGCGAGGCTTCACAAACAATCGCTTTTGATCTCTTTGCTTGCTCAGACATATGACCATTAATGAAGGGATTTTGCAAAATGAATGAATTAATCACTGTGTTTGTTTTCCTCTAGTTGGTTTTTCTTGAATTTGTTGAAGCTCTTCTGGATTGTGCGTTGGTGTATGTTACCAGTGATATGATTAAGAAGCAAGTAGATTGTGATTATCAGAAAATAAGTAGCTTTAGAATCGAGGGTCTCTCCAAGGGAACCACAAATGTGTCTCTCTACCCAGAATATTCCCTGTCCCAGGTAAAGTTGATGCGGACCTGTTAAATATTATTATATGTCCACTTAGAGGGCGAAGCTGGGACCTGCAAGTGTTCTGTTTCCTGAACATAGAAACTGATTTCCTCTTTTTGCATAAACACTCATTTGATTTGGTCCTTCTGCTTTTTCTGTTTGTTGCTACCGTAGCTTGTAACATCAGTATAGACAGTTTTAACACACTTGCACATTTTCCTAGATAATTGTAAATACACATAAAGTCCTTGCAAGTCTTCCAGTGTTCAAAGGGGAATTGACGAATTGGTTGACTGGTGGAAGATATGCCTCTCCTGCTTTAAGTTGAATGTCTAAAATTGCCCTGTAAAAATGGCAGTTGTATGTAGCAAGACTTGCTGTTTCCCATCAGTTAAGCTATGCTCTCTTTTTGCATAACTTCAGAACAAAGTTTTTATAGGTTGTAAGATGCTGCTGGTGACACTGATGCAATGTAGATAGACAGGGTAGTTGAAGGCGTGACTTGGAAACGTTACTATTCAGAATTATGCACAAGATGAAAGTATTTTTATTAATTCAAAGAGCATTCACAAACCCTAATTTCACAGTGTCTGTAAGCCAGCAGTGCCGCTGAACACCACCATTCTCTGGCCATTTGTTCCCATCCTATGGAACCCATTCCCTTGCATCACTGCAAGCATTAATGCAGTTGCACAGCGAAATGGTCCAGGTAAAATAGTCAGATTTTCCAAGACTAAAAGAAAATCTTAATTAAAAATGTAAATTCTTCTTGTGTTTACTTTTTATTAGTGCACTTACAGCAGAAGTATAATTGATACAGACATAAATGATGCCATTTCCGAGGCAGCTGAGCTTTATGCTTGTTCGGGTTTGTCTTCAAGCAAAAATGTCATCTCACAAGATGAAATAAAGAAACATGAGGTATGTGAAAAGCCCCCACTGAAAGATGAAGCAGAAGGTTTGCAAATTCATGGGTGACAGAATAGCCAAGGTAGTTTCAAGTTTTGAAAGGGACTAGAATTTCGTCTAACATTAAATACAATGTGTTCCTGTTCCCGGATCCGCGTATGAGCCTAGAAGTGGTCCATTTCCATTGCTAACAAAGCATTTGCTCCCACACATACCCTCAGCTATTGTTATTTAGAATATTGGGTGGTATCTTCTACATTAACTAAAACAATGGTGAATAAAGCTACGGTTTCTTCTTTATTTGCAAGGTAGGGAGTGAGAGGCGGAGACGTGGGCAGAGAGATTTAGAAGTACTGGGTAAAGTAACTGTAATGTAATTCATAAAACACTTTTCAGAATTCTTCCAGCAAACTTTTCACCTTCACTGCCTTTACAATTTTGTACCCAGTGTATGACTATAACGAGATTCTTCATGTTCCAAGAACAAAAAGGGATTGTCTTACCCCTGTGATTTTGGGGTAAGATAGCAAGGGTTACTATTTTGTACTGGAATCGTGGAAATTGGACAGAGAACTTGGAAACTTCCCAACTTTGAGAAAATATGCCAACACCGAGAAAACAGAATTGTGTTTGACCTGAGTTTTTGTGAGACTTTTGCTGTCAGTCGTCTGAGAAGAGTGGCATCATCAGGCTGCAGAAGATGCTTGGGATGACATTTGGAAAGATTTCAAAGCGTCCTTCTCAGATACCCTTTTGAATGTTGTTCTCTCCTTTTCACTCAGTGTAGTTCCTGGAATATATTCCTATAGTCAGGAATAGAAATTCATTATTGTGTCCCCAGGAGCAGATAAATAATCTTATGTAGAGCAACAGGTAAGAGCAGAGGGACATGTCCGAAGACAGAATCACAGAATGGTCAGGGTTGGAAGGGACCTCTGGAGATCATCTAGTCCAACCCCCCCGCCAGAGCAGGGGCACCTACAACAGATTGCACAGGACAGCGTCCAGGCGGGTTTTGAATGTCTCCAGAGTGGGAGACGCCACAACTTCTCTGGGCAGCCTGTGCCAGTGCTCCACTACCCTCAAGGTAAAGAAGTTCCTCCTCATGTTAAGATGGAACTTCCTATGTTCAAGCTTGTCCCCATTTCCTCTTGTCCTGTCACTGGGCGCCACTGAAAAAAGACTGTTCCCATCCACCTTGCACCCTCCCTTTAAGTATTTGTAAGTATTAATATGATCCCCCCTCAGTCTTCTTTTCTCTAAACTAAAGAGACCCAAGTCCCTCAGCCTTTCCTCATATGAGAGATGTTCCAATCCCCTCATCATCTTTGTAGCCCTTTCCTGGGCCCTCTCCAGCAGATCTCTGTCTTTCTTGAACTGGGGAGCCCAGAACTGGACACAGTACTCCAGATGCGGTCTCACCAGGGCAGAGCAGAGGGGGAGGATGATCTCCCTCGACCTGCTGGCCACACTCTTCTTGATGCACCCCCAGGATGCCGTTTGCCTTCTTGGCCGCCATTGCTGGCTCATGGTCGTCCCGTTGCCCACCAGGACTCCCAGGTCCCTTTCCACAGAGCTGCTCTCCAGCAGGTCACCCCCAACCTGTACTGGTGCATGGGGTTATTCCTCCCCAGGTGCAGTACCCTACACTTACCCTTGTCGAATTTCATACGGTTTGTCTCTGCCCAACTCCCCAGCCTGTCCAGGTCTCGCTGTAAGGGGTCCCAGCCTTCTGGCGTGTCAGCCACACCTCCCAGTGTTGTGTCATCAGCAAACTTGATGAGGGTACACTCCATCCCTTCATCCAGATCATCAATGAGTATGTTGAACAGGACTGGGCCCAGTACTGACCCCTGAGGGACACCACTTGTTACTGACCTCCAAGACAAGAACAGGAGCTTTCATTCTCTGTACTTCCCTGGCTCTGAAATAGGATAATGCTTCTTCCCTGGCTGGTATCAAAGGTGACGTGTTGTGACCGATTTGCTGATACCTGAAAGTGTGAAACACTATGGCAATTTAAATGTTTTAAAATAGGCATAATTGCAGAATGCATGTGGAATTCTTTGGAGATAGGAATTTGCGTGACTGAAATGGACATGTGATTTCACTTTTTAATTTGAACACAAGTCCAGGCATTTAGTAACTGAATTTAAAATTTCTTGCCAGCCACTGAGACCTTGTGCAGACAGAGGGCATCCTTGTCAAGAATCTCTGTCGGGTGAGTACTGTTGTTACCATAAGCATCTATAAGCAGTGGTGCTAGAGGAGATTCACTCTTTTTAGAGCTTTAAAGATGATTAAAACAGTAGCTGGATGTATTGCAATTATAGAGGGTAACTGCATTCTGTTTGGCAATTACAACAAGGTTTACGTTTAGCTTTCCACACCTGCTATACACAGATAGCTGGGCAGGTTTGAATCTCTGAACTTTTTGTGCTTTTTAATTAGAAGCTATGACATTTTCCTTAAAAATTACTCAAAGGCCTTTTAAAAGTAAATTCTTCCTGTTGTCCCACTCATTTGGGCATGGAAATGGGAGATTGAACTCTGCACTCTGCCTTCATTATAAACAAACTTCTCATCAGTACAGAAGTATTCCAACCACAGGTACAGCTGTAAGGTCCGATGACAATTTATATTTGTGCTGAATATCAAACCTGATATTTAATGCACAGAATTACAAACTGAGTAATTTTAACTTTCTTTCTTTGCAACATCAGATACTGTCCTCTCATTTCACACAACTCATGGAGGTATGAAAGACGTTCCATCATTGTTCAGCTGGGATGCAGAAAAAGAACAAGATTTCTGTCCAGCAAAGGCATTGATAGGTAAAGCAGTCCTACTGTTTTAAGACTTAATATAAAAAAAATCCCTTGTAGGTCTTGAATTGCAAATTTTAGTTGTTTATGCAGATTTCAGCTTGTCACAAGAGGGCAGTAAATGAACATTAATTCTGGAGGGAGAGTTCTAAAGAAAACTTTTAAAAGATTTTTTTAAAGAAAACAAGAATAATTAAATGAAATTTTGAAGTACTGACTTAAATAGTTTCCCCAGTTTTAAAATGCCACATTTTATTTGTAGGGCATCTGTAAGCTGTAATTTGTATTTACTCTATAAGAAGCTCAGTCCACAAGCCTGCCCATTCTTTTTTTTTTAATACTTTGGACAAATAAAAGATAATACTGCTATGTTTTGCTTCTTTTACTTAATATAAGAATTATTATTAGTGGTGTGCTACCATTAGCTGGGATAAGATATCTTCTAGTAAGACAGGCCAGCATTCATGCAGAAGAGAAACATGGAAGAGCTTTTTCGTGTATTGAGGCTAGTAACCTTCTTATACATCTCCCTCCTGGGTGATCAGCAGATCTCATCTGGGTTGTTTTTTGTGGTTGTTGAACGTTTTCTACAGATGAAGAACCCAAATTAATAATGTAGGTAGACAAGGATCTTTGTGTAGTCATCAGCTCTTTCACTGAAATCTGATGACTGAAAAGTTACAGCTCTGAAAAAGCATTTTTTCGCAAAGCAGCTGCAGGTGGGCCCCAGCCTGTTCTTTGACAGCGGCCACAACTGTGTGCTTGTGTGCAGTGCCCTTCTTTGGGGTACTCGTGTTGGTGCCTCCATTCTCCTGGGCACAGGAGTCGTGGATAACTGAACTGTCATCAGATTACTGCAGAAGACATTCATCGCAGGATTAAAGGGGAAAGTTCGTATTCTTTTGATGCCATTCCCAGGGACAAGTCACACTGAAGACCGGCAAAAGGGCCATCCCCTTTCACGTGCATCCGTTAAAAGTTTCTCACAGTTGTCATCTGCCGTACCGAGCAGCAGCCAGCCTTTCCCATTGCAGAGTATCACTTCTGAAATACTGTAATCCAAACCACACTTGACACAGAAGTGCCCTGCTAAATAACTGTGTTTAATTTACACGTTGCAGATGAACCAAAAGAAGCCAAAACCAAACAAGATGAGGAATTTAGTCTGTGGATGTGTCAGGTGCAATGCTTTTTTACAACTAAGTTCTTTCCTGCCTACCAGCATGAAAAAGCGCTGAGGGAAAGAATAAAAGAAAATCGAATCCGGGATGCTGAATTAGCTGAGCTGAGAAAGATCAAGGATGAGGAGCTGGCAAAGTGAGTGTTACATCTCATCTTGAAGTAGTTAGCTCTTATCTTCTACTAACAAAATTATTGAAAATGAAACGTGTGCTTTAATAAAGTCCTATAGCATGCTGTAACAACAAACTCATCCAGGTATAATAAGCGACATACAGAATGTAACTTGCGTGACTTCTCTTACTGTCAGGAGTAGCACATACAGGCTGCTTTCAGGTTACAGACCTCAGCTGTCTGATATTTCCTGACACTTGAGCCCTGCTCTGTGTAAAGGCAGTTAAGACATTTATTTTTTTATTTTTATTTTTTTTTACTTACGTAAGTCAGACTTGAAGTGATAACTGGACAGATTTTCCGCTTCCCTACAATATGACAGTTTATACTGTGAATAGAGCTGTAATTGCTTAGTCAGTATAAATCTGTCTCCCCACTCTTGCAGTGCGTTAAATTTAAACTTTGTTCACTCAGGCTTATTGCTGGAAGAGAAGCGGAAGAGGCAAAAAGGCAAGAAGCAACAGCAGCAGAAAAACCATTTGACTCCAAGAGTGCTGATTTTAAGGAGTCAGAGGAGTCTGTGACGCAGGAAGAGGCACCGCTTGTGGCACCCCCCGTTGTTACCAAGGTGCCTACTGGCAAAAAGAGAAAGAAGAAATAAGTCTCCTAATGAGAACTGCTGAAGCTTCAAGTAAGTACTTTTTGAATAAGGAAAAAACCCACAACGGAAGAATCGCAGGTGCCGTAAGCTCTAAAATACAAGTGCGATAGAACTGCATGCACAAGACTTGCTGGTTTTGCACCAAGGCTCTTCGGAAAGAGAACAAAGTCATTTATGTGCGCGTAACCCTTTAAACACAACTATTCCAGAAGTCAATATTTGACTTGTACCTAAAAATTCCCTCAGTGTTAAGCGGATACAAGAAGCGATACCTTGTCATGTATGTCCCAATGAAATGGTTTCTGCTTAAAACATGGCTTATTTGACTGAAGTACTGCATAGAAACAAGTATGTAAGAATTTGACTGAGAATGTAAATGAGGCTGAAGCAGAAGCTGCAAAGAACAGGTCAACCTAGAGAGGTCCTTGTTCAGGGGTCTGCTGTAACCACTTCCACTGTACAGGTTAGCAGAAAGTCACACCGTGATGCAAATGAACACAGGAAAACAAAAAGATGCCCTTGAAAGTGTAACAATTATTAGGTTTATTTTCCAGTAAAATATTCACATAAGGGTATCAGAATGGAATGGTACAGATGAATTCAGACTGTTTTTTAATTAGTTTGCACATAAATATTTTTAAAATCTAAAAATTTTGTGATCAGAGTTTACAGATTTTAGTAGAAATTTTGATTCTTACAAAGCAAGTATTGCTTTACTATTGTCATTATTCCAGTCAATAATATGACTAATAACTTTTCATGTTGAACAAGTGTCTGACATTGACATCTTCAATAAATCAGCCCTTTGCAGATCAATCCAAGAAGAAAATATTATTAAACTGTGTCGCACAAAGCTTCTTCACTTCTTCTGTAAAAAAAAAAAAAAAAAAGCAGCAGGTATGTCAGTATGATATTTTACAGGAACCTCTGCAAGAAAAAAAACCTAGGGATCATCAATGAGAATATAATTAAATCCAAACAGAAGAAACCTAGGAGTTTCTAATGTAGAAATATACTTAATTGTATTCTGTCTTCAGTAAAAGAGAGTTGAGTCAAGTCTGGTGTTTCACACTGTCTCAAAGATGAGTTGCATTCTGAGTAGCTCAAGTGTAAATGATGGTTTGAGTTTGCTGCCGGGCCGTTTTACGCTGCAACAGCAGAAGAATGAGCTTCAATACAGGGCAGCACATTGTACCCCCTCTGCAGGGGAAGGAGGGATTGATGTAGGCTGTTACAATAAATCAAGTCAGTCAGCAACTCGTTCCTCTTTTTAAAATTTAGGTTGCTAGGCTTTGGTCTCGGAAAAGTATTAATTCTTCCCCATCATCCAAGTGAGCACATTGCCTCCTGTTAAAACAGAGCACCCTAAAATTGCTGCAAGACTCAAACTGCCATTTGTCTTAGTCTATTTAAAAGCTTATTGCGTCTTAATTTGCACTCTTAGTCACAGCAAATCATTCTCTAAACAGCATTAGAAAGAAGAAAACGCTGGAGTGAGGATCACTGACGGGATAGACATGATGTACGAGTAACCCACCCATGGATCACTGGCAATAAAACCTAACTCACATGTCAATATGTCCACCTCTCACCTCTAACAGACTTCATTAATTACTCCTAAACTAAGCTCACAGAGCTCTATTATCTGAAGGAGGAAGAATGACCGATTAATAATTAAGAATGGCTGCTGAATATTTATGCTGTTCTTTCACAGCTGGTAGAAAGCAGACTAAAAACTTACGCAAACTTACCTTGTCTATCATAGATCAATCCCTCTCTAGATTTCTCGAGAGATGGATTTTATTACTTCTCCAGGGACATACATTTTAGTAGTAACTGTATTTAAAGGTAATAAAAAACAATCCTTACCGTTAACTTCAATCAGATTTGCATTTTTTTGATTCAAAATGACATACAGTTCTCGCTGGTCAGACTTTTTCCCAACTACCCAGTAATCACTCATTGCCTTCACAATAATTTCCTCATCTTCATCAACTCTGAAAGAAGTTTTAGCAAGTAAAGAAGGTGGCAGCAAGTTCATTTTCAACAACTTTATTTGTAATCATTAGGACAGCTTATCGTCATAAATTGTTGGGGTTGTGCAGTATCAGAGACGGACTGCCACTACAGACTATTTAATAGTTAAGCATTACCTGGAGAAGTCACTGTTGATATCACCAAGAATCTTCATAAGGTCAGGGTGAACAGATGCAAGCGATACACTGGGTGTTTTCCTCATGTGAATGGTACTTTTCTCTGCCAGGTTCATGTGATTGAAATAGATAAACTTAAACTGAGGCTCCTTCTCAGCCCTAGAAGATTTTTTAAAAAAATGTGAATACTGACATGTTCTGCAAGCACAGGCATCACAGAGAACAGGCAACAAGCCAGTGCAAAGCTTACTCAGACATCCTGAAATTATCTTCCCATTGAAAAGATAAAGTTGATTAAGATTAGTGGCATGATCAAACTTCATTTTAACACTTTTTTTTTTTTTTAAATAATAATAAAAAAAAGCCAGCCTGCAAAAACAACCAGTTTTTCCGCTTCTGCTGCTTCGGCTGCCAGTGAAGAGGCACAGGGCAGCCTGCAGGCCTTGTCCCGCTGACCAGCGGTATTTGCATTTTTCTAATGAGCTGGTTTTTCTCTGTCCCCATTTTGTTCCCTTGCTCCCCTGTGCCACTCCAGTCTGGTCTGAACGGATGCTAGGTCTTTAATTTGATTAATAAGTAATCTTCCACTCATGTCTCTGTTACTTGTTACAATCAAAAGGAAGAACTCTTCCCCTCATCATTTGCGTGGGCCAACCAAGAGACTATTTTCAAACTCCTGCCTTGGCAGCCTTCCTCCGTTTCCTCTTTTATTAAGTTAATATAAAATCTGTCACTTAGAGCTGTAGTTTTGGTAGAAGTCACAACAAATTCAGACCGGCAAACACTGGCTGTAGCAGTTGGTGCTTGCGGCTATGTATTATTTAGAATCTGGGAGATACCGTGATGACACCACGCACCTTAGCGAAGGACTAGATACCCTTCCTCTCTGTCACCCACATCCATTAGTCTCAAGAAACTGTATCATGTTTTCAGGGCACCATGGCATTAAACTTTAAAAGAGGTAAAGCTGCCAAAGCCAGTCCCAGATGACATTAAAAAAACCCAAGTTTAATGATTTAGTAGACTGGCAGAATTTCAAGCACATCCTATTCTATACCCTGCGATTTTGCTGATTTGGCATTCTACCACTAAATAAGCTCATTCACACACCAATCTTTGGTTTAATTCCTCTTTTGTTGTCGTATGTGATGCTGTTCTTGCTTCCCCAACTAACAAATCTATCTAAAAATAAATTAAGGTTTATGGAAAGCCAGCTATAGTTTTAAGTGAAGTATATTTTTGAAAGCGTTAACATTCTTTTTCGCTTGACATTTCCCCCCCTCAAGTCATTAACTTAGTCCTGCAAAATAGAAAAAATAAGTTTTTTCCTCACCTACTATACAAGGCAATGCTTCAAGAAGCCATAATTCTGGAAAAAAGTACTCAACTTTAAAGCTTGTATTCTAACCAAATAATCCACTTACTAAAATCCCCATTTCAAACTGTTAAACAAAAGTTGTTCTAGTATTTAGCCCTTCGTTTTCCCTTTGGATTTGTAACAGTTAAGAGTTACACTCCGCCCAAGCTGGAAGTACCTGTGCCCAAGGCACTCCTCAGACAGAGCTAGTGCTGTCAGCGTCCATTTGATGTGAAAAATACAGTTCTCTAACATTATACAGAATAGCAGAAAGTCAAAGAAGTCCAATGAAATCAGCACAAAGGAGAATGTGGGTGGGCACAAAGACAGTGATATTTTTTAATTTTTATTTTTTTTCAACTCAAACGTTCTACTAGCCCAAGGGCTCTTTGTGAACATTATGAGATTCTGTTTTCCTCAAGAAAAGTTAGAAAGTACGAACTCAAGTTAAGATTTTGCAGGAACTGCTACTTCTGCTTCAACACGGGGGTCAGTGACAGACGAATACCCCTTCAGCTGGCACATTTGCCGCCTTGCACGTATTTCTGCAAGCGCAGTAGCGTAGAGGACTCGGCATCTCCACGGGTCAGCTAGGTTCAGTTCACATAGGAAAGAAGCAAAACCTACAAGTTCCACCTCTTGTATCTGAGTAATCTGCTGTCAGCTGGAGGATGAGGAGATAGAATCTCAATTGACAGTACTGAAACTTATCTTAATATTTACATTATTTTTTCTGCAACAGTTATGCACGTAGAGGAAGAAGGTTTCAGCAACCACACAATAAACATTAGTTCCTAAATTAATAATATGTATGCTGTTGCATATTTAGGTCTCCCTGAAGTAACAACAGGCAGTTTATAAATGCTTAAGATGCGGAAAGGGCAGATAAACATAATTTAAAACACAGTTAACTCAATGCTTTCAACATTTGGGCTCACATTACCATTATTTAAGCAGTTCATTAAACCTACTTTTTAACCAACTAATGAGGGACTGCGACAGGAACAGACATGTGGTACAAACCCCGATATTCTCTTGTTGATGTTGTACTGTTCACATATGTCTGATGCCAACACGGTGAGCTGAGGCCCAACAATGCTGTCCAGTTTACGGCAAAACTCCAGTGTAGGCGGAATGGAAGCTAGGGGGTGGGTAAAGGAGAGGGAGAGATGAGATTCTTTTCCCACAGCTGAAGGTACAGTTTCTGTAGGTGTTTTCATTGAAAATCAGTGAGAGTCCTGGCATAAATTTCTGTCTTAATTATAACCTTATGGATGATTTCAAAAGACCATGGCTAACTGAAGCAATATTTACTCATTTTATTGTGTAAATTGATTACTTACACCACTGGAACAAAAATCAAAAGACTGGTAAGAGCCTTCATGAAGAACAGACTCAAATAACAAATTAACGAGAGTATTTTACAAGAGTAAAACAAGCTGCATGTAATAGCATTTTGTACTAACCATGTCTTGCCAAGTAAGTGATGC